AGTGAGATGCACTTATGTTTTTTGGATCTGGAAAAGGCATTTGACAAGGTACCCTGGAACAAGCTCTGGGACTGCTTGGCAGGGAAAAACATCCCAGGACCCCTGATCAGTGCAATACAGAGTTTCTACAAAAAGTGCAGAAATTATGTAAGAACAGCAGACCAAAAGTCGGAAGAATTCAAGACCACCAGCGGTGTCAGACAAGGTGATATTCTCTCACCTTACCTCTTCATTCTTATGATGGATGATGTCATCAAGACCTGTAAGGAGAAGACAAAGAAGTACTCTGTAGGGTACTGGAAGATGAGACCAATCTGTATATCAGAGCTGGCTTTTGCAGACGATGTGGCCCTGATAGCTAAATCAGAGGCACACCTTCAGTCCAACTTACTTGTCTGGAAGGAAGAGCTTGAAAAGAAAGGGATGACCATCAGTGTCTCCAAAACTAAATCCATGGTGATCTCAAGAGAGGAGAAGAAACACCAGATCATGATGGGACAGTATGCGTTGGAGCAGGTTAACCAGTTCAAATACCTTGGAGTTGTATTAGACCAAAATGGAGGCATTAAGACTGAGCTGGCTACACGAAAAGCAGCTGCTGGGAGACTCTTCCAGGCCATAAACCGAGGGTTTCTTAGCAAAAGAGAAATTGGCAAGAGGACGAAAATGGCTGTTTACCGCTCTACCTATGTACCAGTCCTGACCTATGGGTGTGAGTCATGGGCAATGACAACAGCTCACAGAAGCCAGCTGCAGGCCTCGGAAATGAGATACCTGAGAAAGGTGGTCCAAGTGACAAGAAGGGACAAAGTCCGCAATCAGACAATACGTCAAGATCTTGATACCCAGCCCTTAGTAACCCGAGTAGATCAGTCACAGTTACGATGGTTTGGACATGTATGCAGAATGGGAGAAAATCGGCCACCATGGCAAGCATGGGAGGCTAAGAACCAGGGAACCAGACCTCCGGGACGACCCAGGGTGCGCTGGGAAGACAACATCCGACAGTCCCTAACTGACAGAGGACTGGAATGGAACAAAGCCAGAAAGAAAACTGCTGATAGAGACGTCTGGCGATCTCTCTGGCAAACCTCTACACCCCAAGGTAGAAGAGGAGCGACTAAGTAAGTAAGTAAGTAAGATCTAACGGCCTGTAATAATAATAATAATAATAATTAGGGTTGTACCGAATATTCGCTTTGTATTCGCTTCGGGGCCGAATAGTGGACCTAATAACTATTCAGTATTCGGCCGAATAGTTGCAGTCGGGCCGAATACGAAAAGTGGTTACCTTACACCCGTTTCTGGACTGGTGGAAAATGAACATATCAAGATTTTCCATCTTGGTTCAGTCAAGCGTTACTTTGTGCACCACCTACGAGCGTATCAAGTGAACGTCTGTTTAGCACAGCTGGAAATACCTTCAGTAAGACATGAAGCTGCTTTAATCCTAACAATATGGAACGATTGTGTGTGTGTGTGTGTGTGTGTGTGTGTTTTTTTTTTTTTTGAAAGCTAATGCTTTCTTGCTAGCTAAATACATACAGTTTTAACATATGGCTGTGAGTCCTGGGCAATCGGTAAGCAGGCCAAACAATTTATAGAGGCCTCATAGATGTGGTTTTACAGAACTATGCTTAAAATACCTTGGGCAGCCAGAAAAAAGCAACCAAGAGGTTTTAAAATAGGCGGGAGCCCGAAGACAACTACTCACAGACATCAGAAGGAGACAGTCATCATTTTTCGGCCATGTTATAAGATGAAGGAAAATGGAACATGTGGTGACCACTGGAAAGATCTGTGGAAGGAGGGATAGAGGAAGACAACAAGAGAAGATTCTTGGCAGTCTTGTTGCATGGCATGGAGGTGTGTCAGCACACGAAACAAACATGCTGCAGGAGATCGCAGATTGTGGCAAGGCATAATCGCCCATGCCAGTCGGCAAAGCACCTGATGATGATGATTCACTATTCGTATTCGTATTCGGCCGAATAGTGAAAATCACTATTCGGTACAGTCCTAATAATAATAATAATAAAAATAATATAAAAAAACACAAAAAACAAAAAACCAATACTACAGGACTCAGTAAAGATAAAGAGAAAGAAAAACAGATCAAGAAAGATTTGGATACAGAACGTGACTGACTGGACAGGCCTTAGGCAGTCAAGAAGTTTACTTCATCTGGCGGTCAAAGATGGAGGGAGCTGACCAGACAGTTAACAGCAACTGGTGTGTTGCAGGATGATGATGATAGTGATGACTCACTGCAATAAAGCTGATATAGGTTGCTAAATGAGGCTTTAGGCTGATACAAGTTACTAAAGGTGGCTTCAGGTTGATACAGGCTGATTAAGGTGGCTACAGATAGATACAAGTTGCTATATATGGCTTCAGGCTGATACATGCTGCTTCAGGTTGATACAGGTTACTAAATATGGCTTCAGGTTGATACAGGCTGCTAAAGGTGGCTTCAGTTGATACAGGTGACTACAGGTTGATACAGGTGACTACAGGTTGATACAGGTGACTACAGGTTGATACAGGTGACTACAGGTTGATACAGGCTGCTAAAGGTGGCTTCAGTTGACGACAGGTTGATACAGGTGACTACAGGTTGATACAGGTGACTACAGGTTGATACAGGTGACTACAGGTTGATACAGGTGACTACAGGTTGATACAGGCTGCTAAAGGTGGCCTCAGTTGATACAGGTGACTACAGGTTGATACAGGCTGCTAAAGGTGGCTTCAGTTGATACAGGTGACTACAGGTTGATACAGGTGACTACAGGTTGATACAGGTGACTACAGGTTGATACAGGCTGCTAAAGGTGGCTTCAGTTGATACAGGTGACTACAGGTTGATACAGGCTGCTAAAGGTGGCTTCAGTTGATACAGGTGACTACAGGTTGATACAGGTGACTACAGGTTGATACAGGTGACTACAGGTGACTACAGGTTGATACAAGTTACTAAATGTGGCTTCAGGTTGATACAAGCTGCTAAAGGTGGCTTCAGTTGATACAGGTGACTACAGGTTGATACAGGCTGCTAAAGGTGGCTTCAGTTGATACAGGCGACTACAGGTTGATACAGGCTGCTAAAGGTGGCTACAAATTTAAATAGGCAGCCACACCCTGCTACTGGCTGGTACATGTTACTACTGATGCAGGGTGATACAATCAGCTACATGTGGCTACAGATTGACACAGGCTGGTACCGTCTGTTACAGGTGGCTTGTTTCTGTTGGTTGATGCAGGCAGTGACCATATATTTTGTAAGGTAACATCAGATGTGCAATTTAGCATCAGCTGTAACAATAGCGGGCGGTTATCAAGAGCGTTACTACAGGACTCAGTAAAGATAAAGAGAAAGAAAAGCAGATCAAGAAAGATTTGGATACAGAACGTGACTGACTGGACAGGCCTTAACAGTCAAGAAGTTTACTTCATCTGGCGGTCAAAGATGGAGGGAGCTGACCAGACAGTTAACAGCAACTGGTGTGTTGCAGGATGATGATGATGGTGATGACTCACTGCAATAAAGCTGATAAAGGTTGCTAAATGAGGCTTTAGGCTGATACATGCTGCTAAAGTTGGCTTCAGGTTGATACAAGTTACTAAATGTGGCTTCAGGTTGATACAGGCTGCTAAAGTTGGCTTCAGGTTGATACAAGTTACTAAATGTGGCTTTAGGTTTATACAGGCTGCTAAAGGTGGCTTTAGGTTGATACAGGCTGCTAAATGTGGCTTTAGGTTGATACAAGTTACTAAATGTGGCTTTAGGTTTATACAGGCTGCTAAAGGTGGCTTTAGGTTGATACAGGCTGCTAAATGTGGCTTTAGGTTGATACAAGTTACTAAAGGTGGCTTCATGTTGATACAGGCTGATTAAGGTGGCTACAGGTTGATACAGGCTGCTAAATGTGGCTACAGGTTGATACAAGTTACTAAATGTGGCTTCAGGTTGATACAGGCTGTTAAAAGTGGCTACAGATAGATACAAGTTGCTATATATGGCTTCAGGCTGATACATGCTGCTTCAGGTTGATACAGGTTACTAAATATGGCTTCAGGTTGATACAGGCTGCTAAAGGTGGCTTCAGTTGATACAGGTGAATACAGGTTGATACAGGTTAATAAATGTGGCTTCAGTTGATGCAGGTGACTACAGGTTGATACAAGTTACTAAATGTGGCTTCAGGTTGATACAAGCTGCTTAAGGTGGCTTCAGTTGATACAAGCTGCTTAAGGTGGCTTCAGTTGATACAGGTGACTACAGGTTGATACAAGCTGCTAAAGGTGGCTTCAGTTGATACAGGTGACTACAGGTTGATACAAGCTGCTAAAGGTGGCTTCAGTTGATACCGGTGACTACAGGTTGATACAGGCTGCTAAAAGTGGCTACAAATTTAAATAGGTAGCCACACCCTGCTACTGGCTGGTACATGTTGCTACTGATGCAGGGTGCTACAATCAGCTACATGTGGCTACAGATTGATACAGGCTGTTCCCGCCTGTTACAGGTGGATTGTTTCTGTTGGTTGATGCAGGCAGTGACCATATATTCTGTAAGGTAACATAAGATGTGCAATTTAGCATCAGCTGTAACAATAGCGGGCGGTTATCAAGAACGAGGGCGATAAAAGCTCAGATAGTTATGTCTGGTGTTTTAAAAACGGTGACAATTGAAAAAAATAAGTGCACATGCTTTCTGACATGTGGTTTCTATTTCTCTGTTAGTTCTGCCATCAATTTTGTGATCAAGCTTCCCAGATATTTAAAAATCACTAGCTTGTCCAGAACCATTCAGCTGTATATAGTGGGCCAGGGGCTCTACTGACTTGCATAGTTCCAGTTTTATTTGCATTGATCTTCATGTTGTGTTTACCACTCAATAAGCTTTACATGTTAATGTGGTCTTGCAGTCTTTCTTCTTCACTGTAGAACAAGCACTGTTTGTCAGCAAATAATAGTAATAAACCAATCATTTAATGTTAATTTTTTTTTGATCTGCAAGGGAGTTTTGTCTTGTTAACAACTTTATTATTGTCGGGACACAAGAAACGAATACCGCTTGGGTTATGGGTGCTGTAGTTGAGATCTTTGTTGTGTTCGCAGTTGCCACAGTGGGCATGGGTAAACCACCACCACCACCTAGAACCCCGCCCCAGCACAAAAACTGGGGCCCCACTGGATCCCGGACAAGTCGCCGTGGTGTATGTATACTTTGTCCATTCACCTTCAGCTATACTGAGATATGTACAGTGACCAATGCTGACCTGTTTGCTACACCCGTGAGGGTGGGACACAATTATGGCCAGTGTCTCTTTTGGACTGGTAATGGGTCCATCATAAGGCGGTACTAAGGAAGCCTTAAATCCCATGTAAGGCCGAAACTTATGCACCAAAGTCTCCTGCAAGTCTTGGAGGCGAGTGAGGATTTTGTCCAGCTTGTCAGCTAGGGCAAGGTCGAAGGTCATGTAGGTCATCTCACACCAGTCTTGCTTAACGTCGTTCTTGAAGCTCGAGGTACGTGTCAGCCTCACAGCTGTCTCACATACTGCTGGAGTGCCACCACGGTCAAAGAAAAGATAACACCTGGTTTGGGCTGCTTCCAGTTCATCAAACACCACATGGGCAGCCGTGGTGATGTGGATGTAAGCAGCTTCAATGTGCGTGCCCTGCTGTCTACAATGCTTGCATGTACAAACAGCACTTCGAACTGGCACATGGTTCTCCACCCAGCTCACCCATCCGGACCCAACCCTCAACATAATACTTCCTTTGTTGCTGTAGAACGGATAGAGCTGATCGCTGCCCGGGAAAGTCTCCGGTCGAGCCTCACTGACATATCCTGCATCCACACGGACAGTGACATCCGACAAGGCTCGGACATAGTCCACCAGGTCATTGCTCTGGTAGCTTGAAGGGACACAGTTCACATTGAACTCATCCACGGGTGTAAACCTTAGATGACCTGGGTTTTTCTCACACCTGGTCCAGTGTTTGTGAAGATCTGCTTCTCCTCCATAACTGACCTCTACTTCACATTTTCCTGGGGAAAAGAGGAAAACATATTGTTATTTTAATTTGTTACAGACATGCCAGAGATACGAGGGCGTCATCAATCAGTCACCCTCCTAAGCAATTCTGGGAGGGGGGGGGGGGGGGGGGGGGCCTTCAAGTGGCTCAGTTCAAGTCTAAGAACATAGTAATAATAATAATAATATTATATATTGTGCAGAAAGGTAAATAATTAAAGTAATATATTTGAAACAACGTAACTCGAAACAAATGCCTTTAAAGTGAAATTCTATATTCGGATAACGGAACCGCTTCACTCCATGACATTTTTGTTTCTGCAAAAACAAAATTATTGGGTTGGGGGGGAAGGGGGGTAGGGTTGGGGTTGGCTTCTGGGTAAGATGGGGGGGGGGTGAGAGGTACAAGGGGCATGAGCTCACAGTTATCTGCTCCTGTGCTTGAACCTGACTGCGCGGCGACCTGGTGAAGAACTCCTTGTTGTCCGGGTTCACACCCGGGGGTGTCGTCAGAAAAGCCAAATTTCTCTTAGATTTACGGTATCTATAATGGAATCAAGGCCGGAGGGTTGCGATATTCATAGTACCGAGCCAAAAGCTCATTCATCCATCCATCCATCAAACCGACCATCCATCCATCCATACATCAAACCGACCATCCATAGATCCATTCATCCAACTGAAGATCCATCAATTCATCCATCCATCCACTTAACCGACCATCCATCCATCCATCCATCCATCCATCAAACCGACAATCTATCCATCCATCCATCCATCCACCCAACCGACTATCCATCCGTCCCACCCTCCATCCGTCTCTCTGTCTGTCTGTTTAAACCTGAAACACATTCTCACACCTAGGAATAACTACAATCTAATATGCCCCTACGAAAGTGTTCAATAGGCAGGCTCAAATAAATTAAGAAACATTGAATACAATATAAACTATGAAAATAAAAGCTTAACGGGGGGAACGGAAAGGATCCGCACACATTCAACCGAACGTTTCGACGAAAGTCTTTATCAACGGGGTACTAAAGACAACACAAACTGTGACTAAAAAACTCAGCCAACATGACAACATAGAATATAAACACTTATGTTTGACGCGAAAACATATATATATATATATATATATATATATATATATATATATATATATATATATATATATATAGGCATAAAGGGCTATATTAATAAACAAAACAAATGAGAACATCTCGTAATATGGTTTATTTCATCACCGTCATTATCATCACCATCATCATCACCACCATTGTTATCATCATCATCATCATCATCATGACGCTCATGTCTCTCCGTAGATCTCGGTCCTTTGTATTCTGAAACTATTCCACTAATGATATTCCCACATGCTCTCGCTTCAGGTCGTCAGTCATTGTTTCTTTTGGTCTGCCCCTGCCTCTTCTACCACTGATATGTCAAGTCATTGCGATGTTCTCAAGACATGTCCGGTGAACGGTGACTGCCTCTTTCTTATAGTTGTATACAGTTTGTATATGGACGATTGACATCAACAGAATGAATATAAAATGTAGCAGGAAATCTGAACGAGAGGACGCTCCTGTTAGAAAAAAAAAAAAATAACACATCGACTTTGTTATCCCGTGTATACCATCTAAATAAATTTTGCTGCACACTGACTGCAGTCCTGACTGTATATTCATCCTTACTTCCACCATTAAAGATGTGATGTAAAAGTAAAGTAAAAATCCTACAGCGCCATAGGCGCAGCGGGCACATGGAAAGAGCATTCCATATTTGTACAGACCAATCGGCACTAGGGGGGTAGTGTGGTCAGCATTACACCAGCCGTCTTTACTTCCACAGGACAGCCATCCTGGTACCCACTTTAGGCTGGACTGACCTGCGACGCCTCCTACCATGATAAAAACCACGCAGCCAGCAGTGGGTTTCGATCGCGGTACGTTGGAATTACGAGTCGGACTCGCAACGCCTAAGCCCCGGACGACGTCTTTGATGTAAAAAAGGGCCTTTTGACAAAGTAGCCGGTACCACATGTCTTCTGTTAACACCGAATGCTAGGCGGCGTCTACCAAATCTGACATCCCATCTTGTGCCAACTTCTTCAGGCGGAGCAGCGCACTGGGGAGGACACTTGGCTTATCCTAGGAAGAGGAAATGCAACAAGTAGCCTGACAACTTTATGACACGACAGACCAGACCCTTAGCATTGGCGGGCAGATGGTTTAGGACAGTAGCTCTCAGCCTTGCTAATGCCGCGACCCTTTAATAAATTTCCTTATGTTGTGGTGACCTCCAACCATAAAATTATGTTCGTTGCTACTTCATAACTTTAGTTAATATGTGTTTTCGCTGCGGCGTGGGGAGGAATAATTTGCAACCCCTGTGAAATGGTCGTTTGACCTCTAAAGGCGTCGCGACCCACAGGTTGAGAACCTCTGGTCTAGAAGGAAAGCTCTGTAGACGGCAAGACACCTCACTGCTTTTCTGTTCCGGTAGCTTCCGCAGCCTGATTTGTTTCAAACGCACTAGTGTTACCTTTCTCAGGAGAAAACAAGGCAGGCCGAGACTGCGAATACAAGGTATGGGCAACGTATAGTCTCTACAATACAGCCCGGGCTTTGTGCTGTAGAGAGATGTGATTTCCACGCACACCTACATATAATATAATAAAACATTATAGTCTAAAAAAAACAGAAACATGCCGCCACTACCAACACCACCACCACCAACAACAACAACAGCACAAACTCACCATTGACACCAGGTCGACTCAGCGTTTCCATTTATGATTTTCACAAATAAATAACTTCACGATGTGTTTTATGTATTATTTCGTCAATTTTGAAATGACTTTACTCAGAGACATCATATCCAGTGACTCCGTGTGCTGAAACTTATCTAAACAAAATTTCCTCGGGAAAAAACGGTAGCCAAATGTATCGGGGCATTCAAGATAACGTCAACATGTATAGCTGGGCCAGGTTTAAGGACAGACTAAGATCCTGTAAGATAACAACGACCCACACACATTTTTTGATGTAATAAAACATAACAAGGAAGTAATCCATTTTGCGAAGGTGGTCATTCGTGTCGGTTACAGGTCTTATTTCGTTTTAAACTAGAATAGACGCACTGTCCTTTAACAAGCTTGTCGTAGGAGGCAACAAATTAGGCGAGTTACGCTCAGAGTCAGAGTACATCTACCTGATAGGAGAGGAACGAACAGTCTGCATACACATAAGCCGGATCTGTTTAACGGATATGCACATGAAACAAGAGCAAAATTCAGAACTGGACGAACTGCCATAATTTTCTGCTACAGTTGACAGCTGATGACCGTAAAGAAGAAGAAGTTACACCAGTCGCGCTGCATGCATATGATGCTAGACCCCTAGTTTTTAGGACCAATGGGCACTAACTTGGTGATATGGGCAACTTTACGTCGGCAGCCTTTACTTCTCATAACATCACTAGGTACCCATTTAAGGCTGCGTCGACCCATGAGCCGAATTCTGCTTTTAAAACAATCTTTTTCAGTGCGGATTCGAACCAAACACCGTGAAGTTAACAGGCAACCGTCTAGGCACTATATTACGACGACTCGAAGTTATATCTTGAATGTTGTATTTTGTTGTTAAATGTGAAGTCGGGGTCGCGATCCCCAGAGGTGTGTAGCGGAGCATCAAAGCATTGGCCCCAGGCCCATTTTGAGAGAAAAAAAGGCGCCACGACCAAAAAATGTTTGGGAATCACTGGCCTAGACTTATCGACAGGGCACTTAATGATGAGGTGACCTGTTCAATAACTAAATCTACCTGAGTCAGAGCGGACATCTTAACTCTTTCAGTCCTGAACAGTTGTTACTTTAACTCTTTCTATGTGAAGTGGTTTAGCCTGAAAGTTATAAATACTTATCTTTGGAATACGAAAACAAAGACACAGAGGCACATAAGAAGTTTAACTAACGATTCAGGTACAAAGGTTAGTTGCGTATCCTTTAAAGGACGTTGCAGAACCAACCCCAACAGCCCGTTGCTGTTGTGTGGTTTTTCCTATCAAATTTACGTCCAGTAGTTTGCCATTGCTTTCTGGACAGTCAGCTTTCTTGATACCACTGTCGAAACCAACGCAAGGCCCATGGCCTGCAACTGGGATCGAACCCGGCATTACGAAGCGTTGACATCGACTTAGCCACAGAGCCGACTCAGGTACAAAGGGTTAATCTAACACATGTCTCTAAGAGAAGATAACGGGAACATTTTATTCTCTTTGGAAACACAAAGAAACGTATGGTCAGGTGATGGGTATTGCAGGAGTTAAGTCACTCTGTCACAGTTGGCACGTTGATTGGATTCTTCACGCTTGCACGATAAACAGAGATCATGGATAGATATTCGTGTCTGTTCTGAAGAAAGCAGAGAAACAGAAGACGTCAAATATGAAGGGAACTCAGAGGAATCCGCAGAGAAGCAAATAATGTTTACAATTAACTTTAAAGAAACTATAAATTAGAATAAACATGCACATTACATCTACACTCTTAATTATTTAGAAAGGGTTTGCTAGGCATTCTGACAGATAAACAGAAATGCAAACGGACAGATAGACATACATACATACAGACAGACAAAAGAGCAAAGCAGAAATCACGCCCATCTTCAGGCTATTTAAAGCTAAAGATGGCAGTGGCAGAAATAAACACGCTGAATTTTGACTTCTTCTTCTTCTTTTGTCAAAATCTGCTTGTGCCGCTAGGCGTCGCAGTCTATCAGATGATCGGCAACCGAGCCAGGGCGCGCTCAGTCGCTTCATATGCCGTGATGTTATGAAGTCTCAAGTTGTCCGTGACTCCTTCAATCCATCTTCTTCTTGGTCTTCCCCTGCCTCTTGTTGTTTCGATTTTCATGTTGTATGCTCTTGATGCTGGCATCGTTGGTTCCATTCTCATTAGGTGACCAAACCATTTCATTCTTTGCTTCTCAATAAATTTAACGATGGGTATGGTTCCAATAGTTCTTGTAATCACATCGTTTCTCACTCGATCTCTTCTGGTTTTATTCGCAGCCATTCTCAAACATCTCATTTCACAGGTGGTTAGTCTTCTCTCATGTTCTTTTGTTAATGTCCAAGTCTGACATTGATAACCTAATGTCGGTATAAAGATTGTATTTATAATTTGTCTTTTTATCTCAGCTGGGACAGCAGGGTGTTTTAAAATTGGGGTAAGCTGGTATGCGACATTGTTGGCTTGTTGGATTCTTGCTTCGATCTCTCTGTCTATTTTACCATTGGATGTAAAGATACTTCCCAGGTATTTAAATTCTTGCACTTGTTTTAGGCTGTGATCTAGAATCTTTATGTCGATGGTCTGTTGCTCTCTACTTATGCTCATGACTATAATTGAATATAATTTTGACTATAACGGGAAAATCCGATTTGCGTCATTACTTCATTTATATTATTGTAATTATTTCTCACCCAACACAATAATAATAATGACCCGAAAAGAAGATAATTAAAATATTGTCATTAAAATAATATGACCTGTGTGGACAAATTCTGCAATAGACATAGTTTAAAATGGTAGCCTAGCCTGGTGTGTGTGTGTGTGTGTGTGTGTGTGTGGGGGGGGGGGGGAGGATGAGAGGCGGAGAATGCACTCAGCCATCCGCTCCCTAATTCTTTTTTTTTCGTGTTCAGGGAAGGTGTGTGTGTGTGTGTGTGTGTGTGTGTGTGTGTGTGTGTGTGTGTGGGAGGGGGGGGGGGTCAAGGACCTTAGACACTACTCAAATATTTATCAGGGCAAGTTGCAAGGTGGAGGTGGTGAGGAGGCTATAGCTGGGTTATGGGTGACTGCCCTCGCCCCCCTCCCCACCCTCACCAGCATGTTCTAAATTTATGGTGAGTGAAAACAGGGGGGGGGGGGGGCGGAAAGGGGTCTGAACTCCATCTCACCAGGTAATAAATTGAAATTGTTAGGAAGATTTTTTTTTTTTTGGGGGGGGGGGGGGCAGGGCGCACAGCCTCCCCGGACCAACATTTTCCTAATTTAATGGGACCCAAGGGATCTCCCAAAGTCTTTGCCTGAGCAAAATTGTCAGGTGGGGGCAGGCACGCAACCGCCTCTGTCTCCAAAGTTTCGGACATAATGTGTATTTGTCCCTAACAACAAGTGCAACACCACAGAAGGACAAGCTGAGAGACGACATGAATTCTTTAGCTAAAGATGATGTTAGCTTGCATGTTTCATCTCCTCTATTAGAACATAAGGAAAGGGGGGGGGGAAGGAATCTCCATAGCAATGTAGTCAAGCTGTTTAACCTACTCTCTGAAGGTCGGGGGTTCGTTTCCCAGCTTTGTTACTCAGTCCTTGAGCGCAATTTTCACAGAAACACCTGGATCTCATCGTCGGAGCTACGGTGTTCGTACTTCGTGCGACGCTCTCGGCAAATGGCCATCTCAGGCGTAGAGAGACCGTGCCATATGGGATAAAACAAGGTGCAATGAAGTCGATCCTCTCGATTTTAAAATTTAACTTTAAATACAGTCAGCAGATCAACCAGTCAACGAAACAAACACAGTGTCGTCTTCACATTGAAGGCAGGCTAAATTGATCTCCAACTCTCTTCCTCTCTCACTCTGGTTGAAACCTCTTTGATACTACTGTTCACCCGTTTTTGTTTTTGTTTTCCTGCTAAGTTTCACAGCTTCCTTTCAGCATAACTTTGTCTTGTAGTCATTGAGAGTCGCAGTTTTTTACCGGGGATTTCCACGTATATAAATAACCAATGGGAAAAACCGCATGTGTATTGCTTTCAAAGACGCTAAATACTTGAAAAGCGAGATTTCCCGGTAAACGGTGACAAACTATGAAAAGGACTAGAACAAATTACCTGTTGGATTGATTTCATGGAAGTGGTAGTTACACATTTCACGATGTTTGGGACTGCAAAATTATTGTGGCAAACATATTTTACTTGTCTATTGTTTATTTCTTTCAGAAAGTCTTGTTATTATACATATATATATAAATATTTCCATTTTCGCCAGAAACCGTGCATGAATTGGTGTTTTGTTCCAAGAACTACGACACGTTTTCTATCAGCAGACAGAGGACATCTGTAGGTGCTAATTTTTGGGAAAGATGGATACAAGCAAACATCGCGAGATCACGTTCCCGGAAACAGAGTGTCCAAACCTGAGTATAGATACAACATGTGAAGGTACATATGCAACACATGAGAGTACAGATGCAACATCTGAGAGTACAGGTACAACATGTGAGAGTACAAGTACAACACGTGGGAAAACAGACACAACATGTGAGAGTAAAGACACAACATGTGGGAGTACAGATAAAGCAGGCGAGAGTAAATTACGTAATAAAGAAAGTGAGTAGTTTTCTCAGGGATATACGACATGACAGCTTAATTTATAATACTGAACACAAAGTAAAGGACCCTTTTCTACACCTTCAGGCGTATTGGGTATATAGGGCTAGACCTTCATTTTATATACCAATCGCAAACCGACGGGTGACTGTTCAGCATCAAACCGACCGCCTTTACTTCCCAGGTCTTAACCTGGTACCCATTTAATGTTGGGTCAACATGGGAGCCAAGGTCAGCTTTAAAAAAAAAGTCCGGCTCTGCCAGGACTTAAACCCACGACCTTCGGATCCGCAGGCAAGCACCTAGCCGCTCTCAGAAAGCATGCTGAGGAAGATCAGGACAGGCATGCTTCGTCCAGAGTGGTGAGGAGTATTATCTGGATTTTTGGACCGGGTCACACCGGTGTGTTGGGAAACGAACAGGCGGACAGACTGGCTGGATCTGCCAAACTTGGTGGAATACTGATGCATGATAAGTCAGACGTGGTTAGTGCCTTGTGGAAGAGCGTATACAGTTCGGAGGAGCAGATGGATCACCACAGTCTGGTGAGATTGATGCAGCGGGGAGTGACGAGAGGTTCTGGCAGGTGCTCGAGGCTCAGAGGAAAGGCAAGACGGACGTTTAATCAGAAAGCTACTGGCACCATTAGCATCGGAATTCTTCACTGGCTACCGAAGATGGAGACGGAGCGCTTATGGGAATGCCCCGAGTGCTGTGATGTCGGTTCTTGAATCAAATCGAATCAAATCTCTCTATAGATTATGGAAAACTGGAAAAGCTGAGGCTACATTAGAGGTTAGAATGAAGAATAGACAGCTCTAATGCGTGTGGCATGTGGTAAGTTATGGATCAGGATATTCCCCTAACCCTCTTTTGTGTATTGATATGAGGGAAAGTGGAAGACACTGAAATATGTAAGCCTATGTTGGTGGAGAGGAGGGGGGGGGGAATGAAGAGGATGGAAACACGAACCTGAACTGTTTAAGATTGTATGCAATCTGAAATGGACATCTGGAAGGTCATGATCTGGTCATCCTAACTAATTAAACTGTTATCTAATAAATGTGAGACTGTAGAACTTCCCATAAATAAACAGAGGGGAAACCCATAAAGCTGTTAAATATTATATATTAATAAAGTAACAGAAAAAATTGGGGTGCCTTGTTGACCATGTTCTTAGAGAACTTTTTTCCATAGCGAGGCGCACAAGCCGTCTGGAGGTGACAGGTTCGATTTCCGGCACGGTAACTGTAGCTTTCGATTTTTATGTTGTCTAGTGTGTCCTTCTGTCTTTCTACATCTTTCTATGATTGCCGATACATACATTATCTGTTACTTTTTTTTAAAAATGTGGAACTTTACAGCCCCACAGCCATATGTGCTGTTGTACCAATGTAGCATTGTATGTATATTTGACGTAGCTTATGAAAATGACCGGACAGAATTCAGATCCAGTACGCAGATAAGACAAGCGACCAAGCAAGAAAATGTATCCAATTTTATAAGAAAGCGCCGGTGGAACTACATCGGACATGCGCTCATAATGAATAAGACAAGATTTCCCTATCATGGACATCGAAGGGGAAAAGAAAACGAAGAAGACCAAGAGACCCTGCGTAGAACCATCCTCACAGAAGGCTCAACCTTTGGGCCTAATTAACACCCACAAGATCTAAAACAGGTGACAAGGAACCGCCAGACATGGAGAGCTATGGTCTCTTCTCTATGTGCCGCCCTAAGCTCAAGAGGAAAGACTGACCAACCAACCAACCAACTAACCAACCACTTAACCGGCCACCGACCGACCGACCGATTGACTGATTGACCGAGTGACTGACTGACTGACTGACTGACTGACTGACTGACTGACTGACTGACTGACTGACTGACTGACTGACTGACTGACTAACTAACTAACTAACTAACTATAAAATTGAATGATTTTGAAAATCATAATACTAAGATTCCATGTATATTTCTTTCAGCCACAACAAGCGTGGACACCACATGCGATACTCTAACACTAGCCAGGCTGGACAGGGAAAGTCAAGGTTGGTTCTTTTTTTTTTTCTCTCTCTCTGGCCCAGCGTCTCTTTGTCTGTCGGTCTATCTATTTGTCTGTCTGAGTCTGTGGAAAAAACCTGATGTCACAAGAAATGTATTGTACTAAACCCATGATAAAAATATTATATTTAAATAATAAGACCAAACAGAACAAGTCACACAGTTTATTGCCTGGTACACTTCACATGTGACGGCGTTCGTGGCTAAGGTGTTGCGAGTCGGACTTGTAATTCCAACGTACCGCGATCGAAACCCACTGCTGGCTGCGTGGATTTTTATCATAGTATGGGGCATCGCAGGTCGACCCAGCCTAAAATGGGTACCAGGATGGCTGTCCTGAGGAAGTAAAGACGGCCGGCATAATGCTGACCACAGTACCCACCTAGTGCTGATTGGTCTGTAAATATATTGGATGCTCTTCCCATGTGCCCTATGTGCCTAAGGCGTAAAAAAGGATCTTGACTTTACTTTTACTTACTTAAACTTCACGTGTAGCTCATCAGATTAGTCCCACCGTTACAATTGAATACAATGAACAAAATAAACCCATCCTTTCAAGTGAAACACAAAATCAGTCACAATCGTTAGTAACTGCATATTTTACCAGCCCAAACGCACATGTGTCGTTAATTTTAATTTTAGCTGTAAAGAAAGTAAACTACCTTGTTTACGCACCTAGGCCTATTGGGTATATGCACGGCCAGCTCCAGTAAGGCCGCATAACTGAATCACGGCACATTTTGGCTGAGTCCCCTCCGAAATAGGTTACTGCAAGCGTTTCCATGTTGCATTTTGTGACATTATAATATGCTTACAAACTTCTGTGTTCTGATTGTATTCGAATTACGAATCGACAAGCGGATATTGTAAAGTGGACATACAAGCTGTTAGATTACAGCAATTTTAATTGTAATTCATGGGAGACAGTCGTGTTGTGATGTGTGTGTCAGTGTCATTGTTTCTAGTCAGTAGTTCAGATTTTTGGGAACTAGCTGTTTATTACTTTTCTACTTTAAATGTAGAAATCTTACTTTTAGGGATAATACAAACAGGTAATTTAGAAGCCATATCTGGAGAATATCGACAGTTGTCAGGTGCAAAATTTCTTGTGTTTGAAGAAAACTATTGCTTTCATATTGACTGTGCATAAATGGTGCAACCACACTGTGGATAAATTGTGTCAAGATATTTCGGAGCTCTAGGTAAGTGGATAAAATTAATATTTAATTTACTAACTAACCTCTCACAGCAAGTCTCTCTTTGCCTCTTTACTAATTGTTGACTAACAGTATAATTATATGTTGTAGCAGTACACTAATAATATAAATCCTTAACCATTTGACTTATGCTTCACGAACACTGGCTGTAAACTCTTGCGGAAACGTCTGGTAGTTCATCCACTTCTTTTGCATATTTGCAGTTCTACGGTCTGTGTTAATTTTTGTACACTGGCTTTTGCTTTGCTTCGCGAACACTGGCTGTAAACTCTTGCGGAAACTTCTGGTAGTTCATCCACTTCTTTTGCATATTTGCAGTTCTACGGTCTGTGTTAATTTTTGTACACTGGCTTTTGCTTTGCTTCGCGAACACTGGCTGTAAACTTTTGCAGAAACTTCTGCTTGTTCATCCACTTCCTATGCATATTTGTTACCAAAAAATTCGCAATGATAAGGAATTGATTTTATCCAACAAGATGAAACTGGACAAATTTGTTTGTGCTGTTTGTACCTTGAGGATACATATTTAGTTGTGCTATAAGTACTGTTAAGAAAACTACTCTGGGTGAAAAAAGTATTGCACATAACAATTTCATACTGATTGTGCTTGTTTACTAATTATTAAATAACAGTATAACTATATGTTGTAGTAGTCTACTAATAATAATAATAACCATAAATCCTTTATATTTATGTTATGTATGACATGTGTATGTTTCATAGCAGTATTTTTATGCGCTAAATTTGATAAAGTACAAATGTCACCCCCCTCCCCCCTCTACCCCCCTCGCTCCTCTGATGCAACAATACCCCCTCAGAATCAAAGAGTTAGCACTGATATTTCTTTACTTTTGCTGGAACAACTTTTAGTTTACATCTAAACGTTATTGATGTTTATGTTCATGTTGATTGTAGCAAAAGCATTTTTGTTTGTCTGTAAGAGCCTTTTTTGTTATATTTAATTGGCACACTTATTTACCTTAAAAATGACGTATAGTTCTAAAAAATATGTCGAAAATTAATGAAACTGTAGTTTAATTTGTGTATACATCTCCTCGATAAAGCTGTGGACGCAGAGGGACTCAATTCTTGCACAAGAACGGGAATTCCCGTTCGAGCTGTACGGCCTTATAAATCTGGAGCTGGCCGTGGGTGTATGGTGCAAGACTTCTATTGTATAGACCAATCGGTTTCCGGTGGGTGATGTGGTGAGCCTTACGCCAACCGTCTTTACCGCCCAGTACTATCTTCTACTCTTTCAAGGCTGAGTCGACATGGAATCCACAGACTTTTTTTTGGGGGGGGGGGGGGGGAGGGGAGGCGATGGCAAACCCATGACCTACGGATCCGCATGAGAGCATTTAATCGCTACACCACGGCTACATCCTAAGTCATAATTGTATAAAATGACGCAAATAAATGATTCCTTTCAATTAATTGTTTTATTCTTGCTGACAGAGGTTCTCAGACAAGGCCACAGGCGTCTGTGATGTCTGTGGTGCGACCCGTGCCTTCTGCTGTTCCTCAAAGTTTGGTTACCGTTGGAATGGCAACCGACCAAACTTGGGATTAGCTACTGTTGACGCGCCGCCACGAAGACAACAATTGGGGATCCTCAGCCCTCCCCCACCTTACCTTGCCCTTCACAGAGCACACATTTTCTTGGCAAAAAGAAACTCCCTAAAAAAAAAAAAAACCTTGAGAGGGTGGGGTTTCCCCCCAAACAACGCTCTCCTCAACACAAATACAATAAAAATGGGGAGGGGGGTGGGGGGGGGGGAGTGTTCAGGCCCCTTACGCTCTCCCACCCCACCCTCCCCCCTTTTTAAGTAAATTAAGAGAAGTAGCGCGGTAATTAAGGTCACAGGTGTAAGGTCAAGATAAGCTGTCTCTGAGCTGGTTTTGCAGATCCTCATGCAAGGCTCCAGCAACACGTATTTTTTCTCTATATTAAAAAAAAATCAAAACGTTTACGATGTCCAGTCAAATCTGAAGATAGATCCGGTAAAAAGGTCCTATTAACAAAACATCGTTGGTAGCCCTTCAAAGACCAGCTAGCTTCACACTGACAGTCTGCAACGTCCTCCTTCCAGCATGAATTCGAGGCAGTCGAAACACCTGCAACTTTGTTTGGGCTTCTTTGAGGGACAGGGTCCTGTACTGCGCCTGCATGGTGGGGTTTAACAGGCTCGACAACCATTCATCATTCTCTTCCTTATCATCTTCAACTGAAGTACAGAAACAACCACACTCATATTAACTGCATACGTTATCCGGTGTCACATAATGCTGTTGTCACATGCCTTTATTAAGGTTTCCCCCTACTGATTAAAAAAAAAAAAAACACTCTAAAGTAGTTTTAGTGCTGAGATGTTGGCTCGCAATGGTCTAGGCGGTATCCCGAGGTATCTAGGCGGTGACACAAATTATGGCACTACATTATACATTAAACATTCATAGGCGCAACTTGGCCTGACTTCCTCAATATTTTTGAGCCCACAGACTAGATAGTAATCCTATGCTAGTCTAAATAACACAGCATAACAATAAGGTATAACAAAATTACACATACTCCAGACAACTATTAACTGTGAAGGATGGACACTAAGAACAGACTGTAAAAACAACAAAACATTATGTAATCAGTGCAACACATGTAGGAATAAACGGTGGAAAGAATCAATCAAACCACTAGTGAAGCAAATAACTTTCTAGCCTAGTTAGGCTCCTGGGTTGTCTCTAGTAACAGCCAAAATCATCACTGCTAAAATGTTGAATTCTGAACTTAGGGAACTTTCACTTAGTTTTCAAATGAACCGCAGGAGCTGGTCTACACAACGTAGCTTACAAATCTGTCTTGTTCATTTGCATCCTCCTACAACTAGTAGAGCAGGTATGATGACTTGATGACTCCTCCTTTAATTACGGTTCAGCACACTGCCAAAACTGAATTCGAAAAACTGTCTACACAACTACCCATTAATAATAATATTGTCTAGTGTACATCACAGATGCTAAGTCTGTTTAAAAAATTAAAAATAGAGTCTAAGAGTTATGCCACCCTCTGGTCGTGGCAGGTAATCTGGTTACACCATAATGTACTTATAAATAATACAGGCTGTTGGTAGTTCTCACAGACCCACAGGTAGTTATCACTCTGGAATCATTGATGTGGTGCATGGACTGGAGTGTGCGATTCGAACAGTCCCCTCCTCGTGTATACTGGATGTGGTTTACACTGAATAATGTTGGGATATTGATTGTCGATTAGTCTTCCAGAGAGTACTAACATCCTGTGACGGGGATGGATGGATGGATGGATGTGACGACACACAACCTAAAATTAGCCTGACCTCGGCTAATATCGATCGATACGCTGTGCATTGACCCAGATACCAGCCCTAGTCATAAGAATGCCCAGATACATATCAAATTGTGAGCCAAGCAGACTGTACGATGGATATATATAATATCCAAGCTGTCTGGAACCCATTGAATGAGTCCGAGGAGACAGTATGCCTCGGGCTGAAGGGTAACGCTTAGGTTACGCGCCCTTCTTGACTTTGAATGGTTGGACCGGTCAAGTTATTTCACATAGCCACCTCTGTGCTACACTTAGCAGCACGACTGAAAGTATGGTAGTCATAAACTATATCGTACTTACACATGCTCAATGACGTTCTCGGATGAATCGGTAATTCAAACAGAAAAAGGAACAAGCTGTCTGGTCTCTCGGGAGGCTCAGTCAAGCGTGATTTTAAACTAAGGGTCTCTACCGACAGAGGCGAAAGGGGATTCATCCGCGTCCAAAGCGGTAGTTAGGCCACTTGAATTTTGGCTTCAATATCATTGAATCTCCCACAAAAAAGATATAGTAGTGTACTTAACCCGACATCTTGACACATAAGTACCAAAAAAAAAAAAAAAAAAAAAAAAAGGACTGTTTACCTATAGAGGAAAGACAACTATTTGAAAGCGTCTAATTTACATAGAGGTGACAAGATCTGGGCAGGTCTAAGACGAGAGGGGTGTGGGCTGTCATGCGACACCCGGGCAGGGCAAACTAATACCTGTAACTGATGTTGATCTCAGTTGTAAAGTTAAGTATCCTTTTCTACCCCCCTATGCGTTTTGTGTATATAGTGCAAGACCTATATTTTATAGCTGTGTGCTTGTAGTATAGTGCTAAAGGCATGGTTGATAACACCACGCCTGCCGCTTTACCTCCCAGGACGCTTTCTGTACCCCGTTAAAGTCTGGGTCGACCTGGGAGCCTTGGTCATTTTTTATTTTAAAATCATCTGGATGAGGATTTGAACCCAAGATCATCGGCCCCTAGACGAGCATCCATCGCAAGATGTCCTTAATATGTCTGCAAGCTCCATGCATTGATGATGTAATATTGTCTATGACAAGATGTCATGTAGCTATCTACCAGCTCCATACATTGATGATGTAATACTGTCCATGATAAGATGTCCTGTATCTATCTACCAGTTCCATACATCGATGATGTAATATTGTCCATGACAAGATGTTATCGACCAGCTCAATACATTGATGATGTAATGTTGTCCATGGCAAGATGTTATCGACCAGCTCAATACATTGATGATGTAATGTTGTCCGTGTCAAGATGTCCTGTATTTATCTACAGGTCCATGGGAGTTTGAGTACAGTTATGGAGGAGAGGGTGACCTTCATCGACATTACGACAGCTGTAAGAAGAATCCAGGTCACAAGAACTTTATACCTGTAGACAAGTTCAGTGTAGAAGATCTCCCCGAGGATTATCGGGACAAAAATGTTGTGAATTATATCCGAGCAGTATCAGACCTGACAGTTCGTGTGACAGTCAACTATGTCAGTGACAAGAGACCAGCGACTGCTCCTGGTAGTCAAAAGCCTTATCCATATTACAATGTCAGAGGTCAGCGGAAGATGACAGCGGGGACAGGGTGGGTGAGCGGTGTTTTGATATCCAGAAACGCTTTGAGAGGTCTGTGTCAATGTAAAGATTGTCTGAATTCTTCTACACCGGAAGAGAACTATGCCATAATTAGCATAGACACAGCAGCCCACGTGGTCTTTGACGACCTTGAGGGAGAACATACCATATGCGACTTGTTCTTTGATAGAGGAGATAACCCATACACCAACAGCAGCGTAGTCGCATTGACTGGGGTCTCCGGCGTGCAAACCAGAGTTGTTGAAGACTTTTGTTACAGGGAACATTACACTCATGACATGGATCTGGCACAAAGACTTCAGGAGATAATGTATCACAACTTTCAAGAAAAGGGACATTTCTACTGTGAAATGCTTTCGTTATTTAAAGTCACACAGAGACGGGATATTCTACTCAAGCCGACATTGTTGTTTCTAGTGTCGCACCCTCATGGATGTAGCAAAAAGGTCAGTCTGGGTCGCGCCACAAGAGTAAACGTTTTTAACGATCGCATCGTTTCAGTTTTATACAACACGGCTTCATGTCCGGGATCTAGTGGTGCTCACGTAGGTATGTTACAAATGGATGAAGACGTAAAGGGAATTTCTGAATATAAACCTGAAAGGAGAGTTCATCGTGGATTCTATGATGTGCGACGTGGAATCAACTTTTGTTATGAAAATACAGGTTAGTAGACTTGCTGAGAAAGTTTACCTTTAGGGCTAAATACAGCACATAATATGACTAGTGAGCTTAACAGGGGAAATGCAAAAGACACGTACACATACAACCGAACGTTTCGACCAAAGTCTTTATCAATAGAGTACCAAGCACAACGTAAATTGTAACTGGAAAAAGCATCTAACAAGACAGTAGAGCTGGTAAATAAACAAGGTCAGACAACATGAAACCAAGAAATACGTAATATAAAAAGATGAGGACACGTAGGGCTTTATTATGCAATAATATAAATAGGTGGTCGAAAACACCTGGGAGAGATATCAAATAAATAAATAAATAAAAATGATTAAATAAAATAAAAAAAAAAAAAAAAAAAAAAAAAAAAAAAAACAAACTTAGATACGGGTGTGCTGAACATTGAACTTTGCAGGAATGAAACCGCCAAAACTGCGAGTGAAACACTGTTTTAAGGAGTAGTGGCTGGTTTGATCACGGCAGCAAGATTTTATAGCAGTAACTGGGATATCGTTTTTGACTTAGTGGTCAGAAATAGAGGAAGACTGTTTTAAGAAGCATATTGTGAATATCCATTAGATGTTCACATAAACTATCTTCCTTCTGACTCCCCCAAAATATACCGTCCTGCATTATGGGCAGATGATGTTATAAATAGGGTGTCGCGAATCACAAGAAAATGTTTCCATAATTCGAAATAAAACTTTCGCGAAACGGACCGAAGAGTCTGGATCACAGATAGATGTTTTGCATATAGTCCGGGAGCATTTGGATGTACAGAAAGGATATGTTTTGTGGACAGACGATAGTCGGCTTCTGACAAGTAAGTCTTTAAGATTTCGGTATGGCGTGTGGACCATTGTAGGTTTCTAACTGAAGATCTTCCCATTGTCCAGGTCCGAACGGAAGATGTTAACGTGGTGACTGAAGATTTTGGAAACAGCCAAATCATTAGGTTATACTTTTTATGAACTTTTCATTCACATTTTGTATTGTATTTAGTATTTCGAGTTATTAATTCCACTGCCATCATTCCTGCTAGTGTACTGATAAACTAAATGATGTGAATTAAGCGACATGTTATACAATAAGTAAAATTACTATAAATTGGCTACATTATTTTGAGACAAACAAGCTTCTACTTCCTTCTCCCCCTCTACTACAACCACCACCACCACTAACTACTCGAGCTACTGCTACTACCACTGATGTTTTCTTGTTCTTCTTCTACATATTCTTCTTCTTTCTTTAATTATGACTTTACTAAAGATTGTAAAGATAATGATGAAACTATATGATGAGTCTATGATGATGCTATTATAAGGACAACAACAGATAATCCAAAACACATTAAATTAAAAACAAATTACCTTCTTTTCAGGATTTCGAACACCTAGATTTGTATCTCTAGAAATGCTGCAGCTGAATACAGGTTAGTCATATTTGTGAATTTGTAGGATAATGTCAGCAAAGTTCGGTAAAGGTGATTTTTCTCTGGCAACTGTCGTAATGAGTATATAACATCAGTGATCGACAGGTACCACAAAAGCTGGGTAAACCTGGTCTTCTAGGAACTAGAGTCTTTGCAGAAAATTCCAGAAAGTTCTGTTCCTACGATGAAATTCCGCCTTAGTTATTGCAGTTGACCCGATCACGCTTCTTCTGGTACATATTTATGATGCTCGAATAGTTGAAGTCGTGTGGGATCTTTCGTAAGCGCCAGCAGAATGGGGATTGTCTGAGGGGAGATAGTATTAGCTTTAAAAAAAAAAAAAAAGGTGAAAGTATAGAGAAACTAGGTTTTATCCCATACGGCTCGGTCTCTTTCCGCAGAACGACAAGCCGCCTGCCGAGAGTATTGCACAAAACACGAGCTCCGTAGCTCTGGCGATGATCACCAGGGATCTCCGTAGAAATTGCACCCGTGAACGGAACGACGCAGAAGTGAAACGAACACACGAACTTAGAGCTCCAGACAAACGGTTTGACCACTTCGCCACGGAAAGCTACAACAGCATAGCCCTGTGATGGGTTCTTAATTTATAACGTCCCCCAAACACGAAATTTCCGTGGGAAATCCACAGCTGACCTGACAGTCCATTATTTCAAGGGGTGCAAGTGTGCTGTTGCGTGGTGCTGTTTTTGAGTGTTCATCTAGTGTCTTCTAACCCTAATCCTAACCCTAATCCTAACCCTAACCCTAAACTTGGCTGTAGATAAATCGCGAGAAACTACAACCTGATCACCCTATAATTTTTTGGGCACGTCTTCCGTGACGTAGTCGTGACGTCAGGGGTAAGTTATAAATTAAGTACCCTGTGATGGTAATTATATATTTCTGGAAAAACTACGTAGTCGGACACTGCACTGGAGTATTTACAATGATTTTTTTTGCAATCTGTGGGGGAAAACCCCACCAACAACATAACTATAGGTAAAGCCAGTCAGTATGTGCATGTGCTCTGTCGAATCCGCATCTGGTCACATTCCGCCCGGTATCGATGCGGATATGTCGTTCAAATACCCGTCTAGCGCACTTCCATGTATCCTCTGAGGAGGGGCACTTTGGTACTGGGTCTAGATAAAGGACAACATACCACATAACCCTTGACCCACCAAAGTCGTCGGGGTGTATCGATGCAAGCACTAACACAAATCCCGCCATCTTTCTCTGTCTTACGCTTGATAAACAAGTGTATACACATTTAGCCCTGTCTTGATGTTGTCATTCCAGAATCTTCTTCGACTACACCCTAATGTTCCTCGAAGCACAGCTTTCGACATTTCATCATTGCCAGGAAAGGCTCCTGATATCCGACAAATGGTTTATTCGGTCTCTTATACATTTAAAATAATTTATATCCACCTAAATCTGATAGATGGAATCCTGTTTAGGTCTAAAACCACCCGAATGCAAAATTTGAGATCTAAAAGTTAAAACTTAGTCAACCATCAACCCAGCAACTAAAAAATCAGCCCAGCAACCCACCAACAACGCCACCAGTCCGTCAATCAATTCACCAACCAACCCAAAACTCACTTAGTCAACCAGTTCAACGAACCTACCAATCACAATGAATACAAATAGAACTAAAAACTATGTTGTCTATACCGGTATAATGGAAAGATATAAAACCGAACGAAAAGCAGATCAGCGAACTTCACATTATTACAAGCACAAACGAAACGTGAACGTTGCGGCTATAGAGCCTTCATTAGCACAAACATAAATCAAACAAAACCGCCACGAATATACACAATCATTTAATCTACACTGGTATAAGTTGTATATGAAATCATGTTATTATTGCGTCACTATTATTGATATTATTATTATTAAAATATGTATTTGTTCTACAGGGCAATGGGGAGATAACTTCTGTTGTGTAGAAGAGAAAGATCAGAACAAACATTACGCCGCCTGTAAGAAGAATCCAGGACACGGGAATTTCTTTCCCGCTGACAAGTTCAGTAAGGATCATCTCCCGCCTTTCTACCAAAGAGATGGCATAGTAGAGTTTCTTAGAATGACGTCAGATCTAACTGTCCGTGTGACAGTCAAGTATGTCAGTGAGAAGAGACCTGCGACTATCCCAGGAACTGACATCCCCTACCCGTGGTCCAGTAACAGGGGCAGTCACCTGACGAGGGTGGGCGCTGGCTGGTTGCATTATGCAGGTGTAGATGACGAAATAGAATGTGAATGTACGGAATGTAGAAATTCCCCACGCCCCAAACCGCAGCTTGCTTGTGTAATAATAAACACAGCCGCTCATTTTATTTTTGATGACCTGGAGGCAATACACACAACTTGTCAATTATCTTTTGATTGGTGGGAAACACCTGTTGGTTCAAATGTCGTGAAACTTACAGATGTGTATCAATTCTTTTCGAAGATAGAAGCTGACACTTGCAAAATCAAATATTTCACCCATGACCTAGATCTTGTACGCAGTATTAAAAGTTTGTGTGATAAACACTATACTGCTTTTAACATACTAGGCAGGTGCAACATGGAACCTCTGAAACACGTCAAACAAAGTGACAAAGACGATGCTACACAGGAAGTCCCCCTGCATGTTGCAATCTTCCATCCTCACGGATGTGCTAAACAGGTCAGCATAGGTTACTGTGATCTTACACATAACGCGAACACAGAAGAAAGTCAGTGTTCTCATACTTCCATACTTTGCCCAGGAGCTAGTGGCGCACTTGTCAACGAGATGTCATGGAAAGTCTATCCAGTCGGTAAATAAATCCATGTAGACACACATAAAAAAAAAATGTCCTCAGTAAATAGAGCACATCAACCACGTATCACAATCGAAAATGAAGAAATAGAAAATATAACAGATTTCAAATACTTGGGCTCTTTAGTGAACAACGTGCCGACTGCTAAAAAGAAGTCAGAAGAAGACTTGCATTGGCAATGCCGAGATTAAACAGCATGAAGAACCTATGGCAAAGCACTAGTAAATTATTGGTTAAAGTAAAAATCCTGAGATTATGCATTTTTCCTGTGGCAACTTACGGTTGTGAGTCTTGTACTCTCACTCAGTCATTGAGGAAAAAGACTGGAGCCTTTGAAATGAAATGTTATAGAAAAATACTTAGAATACCATGAATCAGGAAGAGGAAAAACATCGACATTCTGAACGAGTTGAACATCAAGGAGAACTGGCTCATAAATAGCATCCTGCCCCGAAAGCTAAAGTATTTTGGCCACATCAAGCGTCATGGTGGCTTGGAAAAGACGGTGATGGAGGGTACAGTTTGTGGAAGGCGAGGCAGGGGTCGACCACCGCGAATATGGATTCAAGACATTGAAGATGCATTGGCATTGAAAGCACATGGGGCCGGAGAGCTGGCTAGGGAAAGTGATACTTTCAGGCGTGCCGTGAAGAGAGCTACGTTCTGTAAAGGACTTGCTGATTGATAATGAGACACATTTGGCGATCCTGATTATAGTATGATTTCGAAAGTCGCCCCTTCAGATTTTAACAGATATCTCAAAAACTCCTATATGGATTACATGAATTTATATTCGTGGTCTTAAATTTATCATGTACTTATGATTTTACAGTTTAAATTGCACAGGTGCTGCTGTTTTCTTAATGAGGCAATTTTTTTCGATCTTTGTTTTTTTTACGTTAAAAAAATTGAATACACTCTAATTGACTCACGCGTTGAGATTGCTTCGAAATCAGTTCATTCAGAAATGCATGGTGATTATTGTGACAGCCTATCCTGCATACAATTACAAATTAAACAACTCACGGAAGGCAAATGCTGGAAGTGACCACATGAGAGTAAAACGCCTATGAAACGAGTGCAATCTGATGTTTGAAAAGTTCACGTTACTCAGTTTACTGTAAACATGTTCACTGTTTTCTTTGAATTGGTGTCTATTTTTCATCAGCCGCAAATAGACAAAATGAAAACTAGATGTTTGTTTACAATGACATTATTATTATAAGACTGCATACCGAATTTCAACAATACACAAGGCGGTTACTGAGTTCTAGATTATTAAATTTGATTACTACTTCGGGAACAGATTATAGCAGTGATTCCCAAACTGAGCCGCGACCTCTTCACAGGGGCGCCACGAAATATTCGAAGATACACGAGTGTTTTTTTAAAAAATCTCTTACATAAGAATAGTCATACTTTTACTTCGGTTAGGCCGTCGTGAAAATATTAAAAAAAAAAAAAAAAGGCGCAGCGACTAAGAACAGTTTGGGAAACACTGTTCTATACGGTGTAATAATTCACGCATATTGCTTCTGATTATATTCTAAATTGACAGATTTTGTCAAGTCATAGAAGGGTATCATCACATAAAATGATGCATACTGTTGAAGATTGCAGATCGTGGATCGTCTTCGCCAGACGGCAAGGTACTCAGGAATGATGATGACGATAATACAGGTGGACCTACAAACACTTGGCGCCATTAACTAGAAATAAAAGGTTACTCTGAAAGATGAATGGAGGTCAGAAATATCTACAGCAATGAGCCTCAAGAGTATGGAATCCTGAAGAAAAAGGAAAGAAGAAGAAGACTGACACACGCGTGCCACACAGACACAGTGATTTTTGTGTTTGTGTGGTTTTTTTTTTTGGCCCTACACTACATCTGTATTGCTTATTATTTGATTATTCAATTTGTCACTTGTATTATGGCACATGTGTATTGTCCAGCTTTATCTGACACATGTTAGAATGGAAATATTAGAATTGCAGATAGGTAACCTGTTTAAAAAATATATAATTTAAATTTTCATTTTTATTCAGGCTTTCAAAAGCTGCCTTGCCATCATGTCAGAATTTCTTTCTGTGTATTTCCTTTACTATCAAAAATTACTCCCTGACAAAAGTAAACTAATGATACTTTATTTTCTTTTATCTCTAGTGTTACATCTGCTTGATCTGTTATTGGTGTTTTTAATATATTTGTCTTTTCATAACTTATTTATAGTCTGACCATTGATAGTTTGATATGAAGCAATTTAATTATTACTCTCATAACGAGAAAAAACAAAACATACATGCACTTACACACACATATGTACAAATATATATTTTAATTATGACAGAATACTGTTTTATTTGTTTTGCTCATGCAGTTCAGTATAATGAAAGATTGGTAAACAAGTCAGAGTTTAAACATTTCTGTTTTCTGTTGAAATAATTACCATTTGATGGACAGATACAGTGACCAATTTCCTTTCACAATTTCATAATGTCATGAGATTTAAAAAAACAAAAACAACCTGACCCATTCCTGTCCCATGTTATTGTTATATTTATTATCTGTTACTATCATTATGATAATTTCTCGTAGGTTACTTTATATTCTTTCACAGTTAGACATTGACCTCATAACCAAATAATAACACATCATTTGACTTTCTGATGTACATTTTTATTTGTATGTGTATCTGTTTTAGATCAATACAAATTTATATGTTGACCAAACAAAAATTGAATGGATTGCCTGTTCATAATAAAGTTTGATTGTTCTTCAAAGGTAGTTAATTATTTTTTCCCCTCTCTTTTAGTGTCTATTGTAACCTTAAGGTTAACAGTAACTTATCTTGCTGTCTGACATAAAAGATTAAAATACTTATTTACTGACATATAATAATAATAATATGCTTTACTCTAAATACTTATTAAAAAAAATATAACTGGGTGACGAACTCCTTGTGGTCCGGGTTCACGCCTGGGGATAGGCAGAAAAGCCACATTTCTCCCAGATTTGTGGTAGCTATCATGGAATCAAGGCCGAAGGGTTGGGATATCTATAGTAACGTGCCAAAAAAAATTAACAACACATAGTTTCTTGATACTCAAAAAAAAAAAAAATTGTTTTTTTTTAAATTTTACTCTAAAATCCTAATGACAAAACAAATGAAACACTTTACTCAAAATACTCACTTATTAACATACACAAATAAAATAGTTTAAATACTTACATATTTACATATCTGAATGAAGTGCTTTATTTTAAATACTTACTTATTGACATGAGCGAATGAAATAATTTACTCTTTAGTTATGTTATAATAAAATACGTACTCTAAAATACTTACCAACATATAAAAATAAAACATTTACTTACTGACAAATAAAAATAAAATATTTACGTTAAATTATTTGTTTACTTACACATTTGGATAAAATACTTAACTTAAATATTTATTTATATATAAGACAAACATTCACTCTAAATACATAAAATAAAAAAAAATAAAAAATAAAAAAAAACTCTTGTTACTTACTAACACATAGGTTTACAAAATATTTAGTGTGAATACTTACCAACAGGCGGCGTCTGTGGCTAAGGCATTGCGAGTCTGACTCGTAATCCAACGTACCATGATCGAAACCTGCGTGGATTTTTATCGTGGTATGGGACGTCGCAGGTCGACCCAGCCTCAAATGGGTACCAGGAGGGGTTGTCCTGGGAAAGTACAGACGGCCGGCGTAATGCTGACCACATTACCCACCGAGTGCCGATTGGTCTATAAAAATATGGGTGCTCTTCCCATATGCCCGTTGCCCCTAAGGGCGTGTAAAGGGATCTTTACTTTACTTTACTTACTTACTAACATATAGGAATAAAATACTTACTCTAAAATACTGACTTACTGACATATAAGAATAAAATACTGACTTTTTGACATACAAGAATAAAATAATGTACAATACTGACTTATTGACATATAAGAATAAAATACTGTACAGTACTGACTTATTGACATATAAGAATAAAATACTGTAAAATACTGACATATAAGAATAAAATACTGACATATAAGAATAAAATACTGTAAAATACTGTGAAACACTGGCTTACTGATATATAAGAAAAAAATATTGTAAAATACTGACATATAAGAATAATATATTGTAAAATACTGACTTACTGATATACTCCTGTGATGTCCGAGCCAGCAAAGACTGCCTCCACATCCATTCTCAAACTAGACGTTGTGATAGCATATGCCAGGCTTTGTTGCACCAAGCGACGTCCATTCACCTTCGCTATGAATCTCTATGCACTTCGTCTGCCCCTCAACACGGCGCCATCTGCACGGACAGTCACATCATCTGGGTGGGAATTGTCATGAATCATTTGTTGACCAGTCCCTGCGGTCACGTCCCAAAGTGATTAGAACCCTACACAAATCTGAAACCTGATCTGACACTTTGAACCACTCCTTTTCTCGCCAAAATTTATCAAGCCTGCACACATTTCCAATTGCGTCTTCAGCTTGAGTGATTCAAGACTTATCCCTTTTCAGTCTGTGACCCTTAGCTCTTCCCAGGGCTTCATGCTTACTGACATAAAAGTAAAATGCTTACTCTAAAATACTTACTTATATAAGAATAAAATACTCTAAAATACTTATTGACATATAAGAATAAAATACTCACTACATAGGAATAAAATAATTACTGACATTTAAGAATAAAATACTATATAAAAATAAAACACCTACTGGCATTTTAGAAAAAAATACTGACTGACATATAGCAATAAAATACTTACTGACATATAAGAATAAAATATTTACTGACAGACAAGAATAAAATACTTACTGAATTATAAGAATAAAATACTTACTGACATCTAAGAATAAAATACTTACTGACATCTAAGAATAAAATACTTACTGACATATAAGAATAAAATACTTACTGACATATAAGAATAAAATACTTACTGGTATACAAGAATAAAATA